CCCCCCCACCTGGCTTCCCCACTAGGTGACACTCTTTGGAGGTGGCCTCAGAGTAAATGATCCAGGGCAACCTGAGGACCCGTCTCTTCTTTCCAAAAGGGCACGAGAGCTTTGAGACGATGCTGTTCACCCTGTGCTCCACCGAGCAACTGCTTTCAGGAGGTGTTTTGCTGGAATCGTGAGGCACCGACCATATCGTTCAATGTGAGAGTCGCAGCCTCCTCTGAGCAGAGGGAGCCCTGGTGGCCCAGCGGTTAAAACACCTGGCTGCCAACCACAATGTCAGTGATTCAAGTTCACCAGCCGCCTCCAGGGAGAGAGGTACAACAACCCGCTCTCTGACCAAAGATCCACAGCCCTGGATGCTCCCACTGGGAAGGTCTGCTCCGCCCCTGGGGTCAATCAGAGTTGGAGCTGATTCCTGGCCACTGACTTCAGTTTTTTCTGAGATTATGAGCTGTAGAGTCGCAGTTTCTGTTCCTACTCACCCATCCAACCGGTTCTTGCGTTTGACACGGAAGTTAGATAGATAATGTATACCCTTATGCTGAAAGGTTGGCAGTCTGGAGGAGTCGGATGAGACAAGGAATAGGGGTTGACGTGCTGTCTTAAAAAAGTCTGTCCTTGGGGTAGAATTACCTGACAGCCTGGCTTGGTTTGGTGGTGGTGTGTGTACTTGAAGGAATGACCTTTCACACAGTTGGCACACATTTAAATGCCAGGGCAGAGGGCTCCTCAAGGCTCCAGGCTTCTGGCTGCTCCCCAGTTCTTGTGGGCTGCGAGAGACCGCAAGTGGTAACTGCATTATCTGTATTCAGTTATGATTTAGAACCTTCTCAATGGCAACTTTGTACTGTGTAGGGGCCCTGGTAGTACAGTGGGTTGAGTGGTGGGCGGCCAACTCAAAGGGCCAGCTAGCTGCTCCGGTCTGCTGCTGTGAAGATTTCTCATTTTGGCAGTTCTAGTGGGCACTTCTCTCTGTCCTGGAGTATCTTCATGGGTGGGAACTCACTCAGGGGCAGGGAGTTTGGTTTTCTGTTACATTTGACATACCTACGACTCAACAGCACTTAACAACAACAACACCAACAACGAGAGAGCTGAGTTGGCCTAGTGGACAGAAAGTGATGCTACTAAGCCAAAGGTGGGTGACTTTAATCCGTGGCCCTCAGGCCTGGTTTTGGTTGTTTTTGGTCAATCATTCTTCTAGGTGACGTAGCACTGGTGTATCCACTTGCTGTACAGAGGTAACTGTTGCTGTGATGCTAAACTCTGTAACACTGATGTGTCAAATGCGATAATGGTCGCCCATCGTGTACAGTATTTGGTGGAGCTCTCCGATTAAAACAAGCTTGGAAGCAGGAGTGGTATCCACTTCCAAAATAGCTTGCCTCCGGAAACTCTATGAACTTGGAGAAAGGATGAAAGTTATACAAGTGTTCAGGTCTTTCGTTCATAGGGTCACTATGAGTCGTCTATGACTCGACATCACCTAACAATAACAACAACAACAACATATTTGACAAAAATGCATTCACTCTGTGAAACGACTTACTGAGTCCACTTCTAATGAGAACACATGAGGCGTGGAATACAGAGAGTACCTGGTCCACCACGAGCTTCGAGCATGCTTGCTGAGGACAACAATCAGGTAAATGGACTTTGAGTAAATGGCTGCACGACTTTGAAGAATCATTTAAAGAATGAGACAGGAATCCCTAAAATACCCCCTCACCGGTCCAGTGCTTGAGTCCGTGTGACTCCAGCGTCCCTGTGGGATGGAGAACTGCCCCATAGGGTTTCCACGTCTGCACATCTTTGTGGGAACACATTGCACAGCCTTCTCCAGTAGAGCACCCAGCCTGAGCTGAGCTGCCTGGTGCCGCCAGAGTGCCTAAAGTCAGTAGAGTCCTGCCAGAAGCAAATGAAAACAGGACCAATGCTTCGTGGTGACTCATAGTCATGTTTCAATAAAAGCAGGAATTATTCTAAATTGCATTATTTGCTCCAAATTTCAGTTTTGCACACACCATTCATTCAGTTATTATTTGACAAACATACACGTGGTTTGAATTCCCCAACTGCTCCGCAAGAGAAGGACGGGTGATCTCCTGCCACGTGATTTACTGCCTCTGAAAACATGCTGGAGTGTCGACTATGGGTTGGTTCTCTCTCGTAGGCACACACAAGGTATCTCATGAATTAGCCCTTCCTTTGTTCAATAGACCTTCACAGTCAACCTCCCTACCTGTGTCAGGCATTGCATTTTAGTAATAAATGACAAACAGACCTGGCCCTTTGAGAATTTAGAATCTAGTGCAATACTCATTCATTCACTTCAGTGTTTATCTTTTTCATAGGTTTGGGAGTACAGCAATGGAGAATACAAATGAGGACCCAACGATAATGGAATTATGTTTCAGCAGCCTGTTAGGAGCAGAGCAAGAGCAAATTCCCTGAGGCCATCAGCTCTGAGTTTGGGTTCATTGAGGAATGTAGGAAGGGGACATGGTACCAAAGAGGGGGGAATGACACTAAATGAGGTCTGAACTCAGAAGGCATAATAAACAGCTGGAATGTTGGCGTTCATTGCCACCCACTGCCTTCAAGTCAAATCTGGCTCCTAGTGCCTGAAGAGGATGCAGCAGGCCTGCCCCAGAGTTTCCAAGACTGTGTCTTTCCTGAATACAGTGTGGGTGGTGGGTTTACACCACTGACCTTTCTTTCACATAGCAGCTCAATATTTAAGCATTGTGCCACTAGGTTCCTTTACACCTACAGTCATATACATATATATATATGCATATGTGAGATAATTCCCCCATAAGATTATATACTTCTCATTTCATTTAGATAATAGCTTCAGAAGAAAGCTATTCATAATAATAGAAATAATCTGGGGAAAGCCACCTGATGTCTTTGTTAGCCTGAGATGAGAGCTGAAAAAGAAAACACTATCTTTTTTGCCATACCAGTGACTGCCCCTTTGACTAGAAATGGCAGCTGAGGAAGAAGGGAGGGGATCTCATCTTTGTAAATCTGGCCCCTCATGACCTCTTGGACTGGCTGGCCAGTCTAGTGGCAAGGATCTACACTGCGGTCCCAGAGGTGTGAGGTTCAAATTCACCAGATCCTTTGCTGGAGAAGAAGGAACAATTTCCTCCTGTACCAGTCAGTACACCCACAACAAATAATAAAATAAAATAAAAACAAAGATTGGAGAGAAAGAAATTTGGGGCCTATAACTCCTCTCCCCACACACCCCAATAGGGCAGAATCATCTTGCAAACGCTTTTGGGTGGTATGTTTGCAGGACAGTGTGGCTACCTCCATCACTTTCCTGAAGGATGATGAAACAATATAACTTATGGAGATATCACCAGATTGAAGAACCTACTTCAGCTTCTCAATCTACATGACCCATTGCTGTTCAGGATTCCAACTCACAGGGACCCTATGGATGGGGTAGAACCACCCTAACGGGTTTCCAAGGCTGTGAATCTTAATGGTCTCTTCTTTCTGTCATCTCAGTTTCAGGATTAGCAGTCGGGTGCTGAATGAACCACCAGACCTTTTGTACCTGATGTTCTGCACCACCTGACCTCCTTTTTTCTGTACATATACTGCTAGTGCTGTGTTTAAATAATAAATGTGGAATTATTTAAAACGACATCCTTCTGCATACCCATGTTTATTGCTGCTTTGTTCACAATAGCAAAGGGTTGAAACAACTCAAGTGCCCCTCACAAAAGAATGGATAGAGAACTGTGGTATAGTCACACAATGGAATACTATGCTGCATTGAAAAACAAAGAACTCATGAAATATTATTAAAAATGGGTGACCCTGGAGGACATTATGCTGAGTGAAGTATCTCATCACAAAAGGACAAATACTGCATGTTGCCACTGTTGTCAAACAGGACTGACATCAGGGTTGGGGGGAACCTAAGGAAAGAGGGGATAAATAATGTATACTGCATTGAAAGGGGTGAGGGAGAGAACTGTTTAAAAGGGACATATGATTAGGTATTATTTTCATGACAAGATTCTAGAAAAAGAAATGCATAGTAAAGTGGGCTGTGGACTTGGGGGCGGATCGTATAACAATGAAAGAATTTTTTTTTTATTTTCAAAGAGAAAAGCGAATTGTGGGAAGGAGTGGGCGGGGAGGAAACTGCAATAATGAATGAGTGGGCAGGGAGGAAAACGTGCAACAATGAATGAATGGGGGGGGAAATGGGAAAGGATATGCTGTAAAAAAATTGTTGCATTAAAAAAATATTTTAAAAGAACACTGCAATCCCAGAGGTGCGCTGTTCAAGTCCACCAGATGCTCAACTGGAGAATGAGCGACAATCTCCTCCTGTACCAGTCAGATCTGACTTGACAGTACACAGACAAAAATAATAAAATAAAAATAAAATAAAATTAAAAACAAACAAGCAAAAACTCAACACGATATCCATTACAAGAAACAGTTAAAACCAAGGGGGAGCCATCAAACAGCCCACCTGTTCTTCTCAGTAATGGAACCCAGGTCTCTACGGGAAATTTTCCTATAGCTCTGGGTCCCAGGAAGGGAATACAAAAGCGACTCCAACGCGCGGACTACAACTCCCAGAGAGCAGTGCGCGCCCGCACTCTGCGCACGCGCGGCCCCAGTCACGGCATAGGGCGGTGAGCCCGGGGGCGGGGCCGGGGGCGGGGCCCGGAACACGCTAGTGGGGCGGAAGATGGCGGCGGCGGCTGCGGCTGCAGTCGGGACTCCGGAGTGGCAGAGGCGGCGGGTCTGCAGGCTCTGACCTCGCTCTGGCTCCGGTGCGCGCGGCGGAACGTGTGCGAGGCCCCGCGCGGCGGGTAGGGGCTGCGGCGGCGACAGCGCGCCGCCCTGAAGAGCACGCGGGCGGCGGCGGCGCGGCTGCGGCAGAGGAGAGAGCCGGCTCCGGGCCTCCGCGTCCTCCTGCGCTCCCGGCCCCCCGCCTGCTCGGGGCGGCGGCGATGTTCTCGGTCCTGTCGTACGGGCGGCTGGTGGCCCGCGCCGTGCTCGGCGGCCTCTCGCAGACCGACCCGCGGGCCGGCGGCGGCGGCGGCGGCGACTACGGGCTGGTGACGGCCGGCTGCGGCTTCGGCAAGGACTTCCGTAAGGGCCTCCTCAAGAAGGGCGCGTGCTACGGGGACGACGCGTGCTTCGTGGCCCGCCACCGCTCGGCCGACGTGCTCGGTGAGTGATGTCCGCGCGGACCCGGGCCGGGACAGCCTGCGCGCGGGGGGCGATGTCGGCGAGGACGGGCTGGGGGGGAAACTGAGGCACGAGGGGACCCGCGCCCGGACAGCCTGCGCGCGGGGGGCGATGTCCGCGGGGGAAACTGAGGCACGAGGGGACCCGGGCCCGGACAGCTTGCGCGCGGGGGGCGATGTCCGCGGGGACGGGCTGGGGGGGAAACTGAGGCACGAGGGGACCCGGGCCGGGACAGCCTGCGCGCGGGGGCGATGTCCGCGGGGGAAACTGAGGCACGAGGAGACCCGGGCCCGGACAGCCTGCGCGCGGGGACTGGGGGGTAAACGGAGGCATTGCGCGCGCGCGGGGTGGGGGCCGCCGCGGGGCTCCGGGCACGAGCCACGTGCTCATCAAGGTCACACTGGCCGAGAATGACCAGTCGGCCTGGTCCCCGAGCCCCGCCCGCGGGGACACCTGCGGCCTCCTGGGCTGGCTGCTCGGGCCTCGCGGCTCCCGTGTCCTCGCGGCCTCTGCCACCCGGTTGGGCTCCTGCCACCTGGTCACGGGCGCCCGGGCGCGCATTCCTCCGCCGCCCCGGTCCTGGCCGCCGCCTCCCTATCCGATCAGGTCCACCTGCGCTCCCTTGGGGTGCAGAGGTCGCCTCGACCCTACGTGGGCCGGTTCAGAGGTGCTGCAGGCCACAGGTGCTGGGCGCTGTCAGGCCATCGGGGTGGGACACTGGGGCCCCTGAGAAACGAGCGTGGTCCCTGCCGGCTGTGTGCCCACGTGGGCGCGCACCCGAGGACCCCAGGACAGCAGGGGTTTCCAAGCTGTCATCTCCGTGTCTGAGTCTCCTGTTAACAACAGTAAAAGCGCCTCCTTCAAAATTGAAGGGCATGCTGACATTGAACTTGACTTTGATGGCACTTTGGTTTCACTTCCCAGGTGAGACTGACTTGTCAGGGACTCCTGTGCCCAGCACGACTTGGCCTGGGAACAGAAAATCCTGTAACTTTTTTCTGGGGAGGGGTTTTATGACAGTCATTATTTTTTAATTAGGTCTCAGAACAACTAGCTAATTTCCTTGCTGGGGCCACGTGTAGTGTTTGTGAACATGCTGTGGGAAAGGTTGTTCTCAGTTAATTTATGATTGACCCTATTACTTGGGTTGGAAAAAGTCCTTTAGTGTTTAGTCAATACTATTGTAAGTTAGCTTTTAAGAGAAGCAGCAGCCCTTTAGAAGGTCAGGGGCTTTTGACTGAAAATTGTATGTATTTGGTCTGAACTCTTGTGTCTTTTTCAGAGGACTGTCAGTAGCTAGCTTTTCCATTCCATGTAGAAGGGTCGCGCACTGAGCTTATAACCTGCGCTGCTTTTTCCTTTTTTTTTTTTTTTTTTTAAAGTTACTTATTTGTGCTGCCTTTTGGAGTAGCCATCATGCTGCAGGCCAGGGAGGGGTACCAGATTACTAATGTGCAGTAAGTGTGCATTCTGCCGACATCTTTGTAAGATTTGTGACTTGATTGATGATTTTGAAGGACATTTAGTGTCAAAATCCAGTACTGAAACAATTTTAACCATATAGAAAGCTTGCTCCTAAAAAAAAAAAAGAAAGCAAGCTTGCTCCTTAGTGGAACGGGATATGTGTGAGGGAATTTTATCAAATTCATTGTGGAAAAACAAACAAACAAACCCATAATAGTTTGAGTTTCTTGCATCCTGGCAGAAACTCACCTGGTTTGATGTTCAGCCTTGCCACTGGCAGGTTAGGTCGGTGAGCTGTTGTCTTGAGCAAGAACCTCTCTGGTCTCGGTCTCACTCAGCTCCTGAGTTGGTTCCTCTGTCAAGTGTCCAAGGCTGTAAATCATAAAGGGGAAAGTGCCTATTTCTCTTCTAGGAGGTGGTGGGTGAATTTGAACCTTGGGAGACATGGCCTTTGGGTTAGCAGCACTCTGGACTATGCCACCAGAGCTCTTTTTGTGCTGGTTATCCCTATCACCTGGAGAATCAAGAGTGGGGACCACCTGATTATCAAGGGCTGCCCATCAGAGCTCATTTTTTGTTTTCAAAAGCACTTTTTGTTATGTGGCATCTACAGTGACAGGCAGTATTTGAAATCGTATTCACATAAGGCAAATAAGGTTTCATGTTTCGCATGTAGTGTTAAACCCGTGGGTCTGGTTCACAGTCTTTTGATAATCTGAAAACATTTTCTCCAGAAAAAGGCACACAGAGGTATTCTGACTAGACTTACAGGGACCTCGGTGACCCATGAAGTCCACTAGTGAACCACATAGAAGCCCATGCATGGACACTAGCTGAAGGACACAGCACTGGCCCTAACTGAAAGGAATACCACCGGGCAGTACCTGACATCTGGTTGCTTGTGGAGCCAGGACCAGTCTTGACCCATATTTGACCAAGAGCCATTTTTAAGATTTTTAACATTATTAGTGTTTGTTATGTGTATGTGTGTATGTAGAGTTGATACTTCAAAGCCAGATTTCTGTGAACTGCTTTTTGTCTCGAGGTTAAACTGGAGAGCAGGTTGTCTAGGCCTTTCTGTTGTGGAGGACTCTTCTGGAGCCACCTGAAACAGCTTGATGAGCTGGCCTTGTTTGATTCTTGCCTGCCGTGTGGCAGTTCATGTGATGGTGACTGGTATTTCATTGACACTGTCCTGTCGTAAGCTGGTCTGATTATCTCACTGACACAGGCGAGTCTCCCTGTTTGCTGCCCTAGAAGTCAGGGTTATAAAGTGACTTGTGTTGAATAATAAAGTGACTTGAGCCTCTGTGCTGTGGGTCTTCTGCCGCTTATTCCATTTCCTTGGTTTTACCACCGTGTTGATTCCCAGTATTTGCACCTCCGATTAGTCACCTGGTCATCTAGGCTCTTGACTGGGGTGAGAGCCGCCACTTTCTTTTTGGAAGAGAAAATGGTTTTGTTTCTTTAATTTGGAATTGATCTGCCCTATTAGTCATGCAGTGACTAACTGTACTTAAAGCTTTGTTTTTGAGGAGTCCCCATTGGATTTCTAGTAGGAAAAACCAACTGTGGCGGGTGTGGTTCGGCAATAGGAACTACTTGTCTCCCTTGCAGAATTCACAGTGGGGCTTGATTTTTATTGCCTCTAACAGGAGTAAACCAGCACCAGCAGAGACTGACTTCCTGGGGCTAATCCTGGGCTCTCTTATTTCTCTTTATGGCTTGCTGTCCAAACCAGAAAGCCCATTGCTATCTGGTTGACTCCAGGTGATAGTGACCCTGCAGGCCAGAGTAGAACTGTCCTCATGGAGCTTTAAGCTGTGGACCCTGACAGAAGTGAACTGCCATGTCTTTACCACTGTGCCACCAGGGCTCCTGTCTGACTTCTCAGGGACACAGCAGTGTGGGCACTGCCCAGGGTACAGTGGAGGAGCCTCCCACAGCTCCGAACCACAGAAAGATGGTTAAGTGTTAAGACTGAGACGTCTGGAACTCAGTTCTTTTATTTGCTGATGAGAAAACGCCTCCAAAGGGTCATCCGCCTTCCCCAGGTTCCTGCACTAACAAACCAAAATGAGCTGAGTCTCCAGCGCGGTAGGGTAACTGGCTTTCTTGCTGGTATATGTGAATGCCAGATCCTCCTGTCTTCTCATGCTTTCCCTCTTTGGAGGTAGGGCACACGCACGTGTGTGTGTGTGTTGCTTTGTGCTTACGACTGTTTTATTCTTGCTGTGACTCATACTTGAAGTAAGTGAGGCAGTCGCTCCTGCATACTCAGCCACAAAGAGCTCATCGGGGAGCTCTGGTGGCCTAGTGGCAAGAAGCTGCACTGCAATCCCAGAGGATCATGGTTCGAATCCACCAGATGCTCTGCCGGAGAAGGAGGCGCAATCTCCTCCTGTACCAGTCAGATCTGATTTGACGGTACACGCACACAAAATAATAATAAAGGAAAAAAAAAGAGCTCATCATGTCTTTTTAAAATGACATTATGGTCTTTGCCATGTAAGTGATGACTTTGGACACTGTTGTAAAGTACTTCTTATAAAACTGTTGGGTGTTTATTTTAAGCCTGATTTAACTTGAAACCCCAAAAAGAAATGAACAGAGTTTCCGATTTTAGCCTCTGGACCTGGCTTCAATTGTGGTCAGGGTTTTGGAGTGCTTTGTGAGTAATGCCAATGTTAAAACATCATCTTAAACTGTAGGGACTCGTGGGCGCAACATAAAAATATAGATTTTCGTTAGAAGGTAAATGAATTAGGTAGTATGTGGTGGTGCTGCACAGAGCTGCTGGGTGGTACGAATGTAGACTTCACTGCTGATCAGAAGAGCTACCTCAAAGGGAAGGACTTGGGCTCTGCTTCCACACCAGCCACCAATATGTCTGTGGCGCGCATGCCACTCTGACAAGCTCACAGGAGTGGGCATCCACAGGGCGATAGGGGGCCTTATCTGAAAGGGAGATGTGCTTGGGGAGAGTGTATGTGCTAATTTCAGCCTCTGCATAAGTCCCTCAGTTAGATTTCAGGCTGTTCACAAAACCAGTCTCATCATTATATCGTCATATTTCTTTTTTCTGAAAGGAAACATTCCAGCTTGACTTGCCTTGATGTCAGCACACCTGATCTCCCTCAGTGATGTTTTAAAAATTGGTATCTTTAGTCCGCATACCTTTTAAAGGTTACAGTTGAATATTTAGTGTATTTGCAAGGTTGTACAACCATGATCACTGTCTAATTCCAGAACATTTTCACTGTTCCAAAAATAAACCTCCTACCTCTTAGCAGACAGTCCCTGCCTCCATATTCCGCGTCCCTAGTGACCACTATTCTACTTACTATCCTTCTGAATTTTTCCACTGTGGACATTTCCTAGAAATAGGATACATTATATATATTTATTCACAGTTATAGTATTATACAGTGCGTGGCTGTCCGTGTTTGGCTTTTTTGATGGAGCATCATTTTCAGGGTTCATGTTGTAGCATGCATCAGAACTTCATCCTCTCTGGG